TGCATTTGGCCATTCACGTCGTCCCTGTCCATTTTACAAATGGTGACCTCCTGTCCCCTCACCACGGGGAGTATCCTTTTTTTCACGGAGACGTTCACTCCGACTGTTCCAGACATGTTTCATTTCTCGGAGTAACGTTATAAAAAATAAGGAGAAAAGCTGTTTCTAGCATTTTTTTCAGTTTTTTTATTTCTTGTTTCGAATATTTTAATGTCGAAATGGCGTCACACCGTTGCCGTAGGTGGGACCAGACCCCAGATGCTATTATTATGCTACTGAAATCTTTGTCCGTATTTTCTAAAAAGTAAAATGGGAAATACAACAATACAACTGCTGCTACTTGATGAGGGGTGGGGGACGATGAGAAAGGGAGGCCCAGCTACTGGCAAAATGCTCGGTCTACCCAAGAGCCTAGCTCAGTGGGTACACCGATGAACTGTTGAAATACAGACCTGTGTTCGAATCCAGATGATGGAACTTGACAAGTAAAACCAACTACTAATGAATTGCTTGGGGCCGGTCAGCTCAATAATAATATCTCAAGGCCGTCGCCCTTTTAAAAAAAAAAAAAAAAGCTCGGTCTTTGCGTTAGGGGCAACATGAATTACCTCGTTTGTGAGGCCCTATGCTTGCAGGGTCCCCTCTGTACAGTCTTAGGTAGGTAGGTAGGTAGTGGGCCTCGCCACACCTATCTCCAAAACAGAGATTTGGAGAGAAGTGGCATCGCCAATCTCAGTCAGAAAGAATTTGGAGAGGGGTCAGAATGCGGTTCTCGGGAGTGCTCTCGAACTTTGTGGATCGCCCCGCCTGCAAAGCACCGGATTTGAGGAGTGGTCAGAGGCTCCTCCGATTTCAGCCCCAAACTGGAGAGTCCGCCTCGGCCGACAACCATCTGTTGCCACCGTTTTGTCTGGGTTCGCCACACCACTCTCTAAATGTGAAAAAGACAAAAATGTGGCGGGTGCATCTGGCCATCTTGTAGCGGGAAGTTCATTCTCATTTTGCACATTTCGAGAGTGGTGTGGTGGAGGCCCGTTGTCTGTGCTCTCCAAAAGATGTCGGGCCTCGTCTGACGAATTGGAGACTGCCGCCTTGGAGACTGCAGTGTGGCGACGAGCCCTCTCCAAAGGTTTTTTCACATCTCCCGCGTTCGGGAGTGCTCCCGAACTTTTTTGCGTTTTCGGGATAGGTGTGGCGAGCCCTTTCGAAAGGTTTTTCGCATCTCCCTCGTTGGAGAGCGCAGTATGAGGTGAATTTGAGAGAAGACAAAAAGAAAAGAAAAGGAAAAAAAAAAAAAAAAAAAAAAAAAAAAAAAAAAAAAAAAAAAAAAAAAAAACTGGGATAGGATACTCCAGGGGCCTGGACCCACTAGCAATGTATTCTATAGAGTGACTCAGTAAGGCCGTCGAATAGATCGGATCTCGACGGCCTGGGCCGTGGTCCCATTAGCAAAGAGCATCGGATTGAATGCCTGAATCTGGACGTGTTTGCGGACAGGAGCAGGAAATCGAGATAGAACTGCTTTTCTGTATCTCTGCATAAAACATAGCCAGATTCCGGATTTCTATCCTATCCCTTCGCTAGTGGGACCACGGCCCTGGTAGTTTCCGAGCGGGGACTGTAAAGATGCCCACCTCCCGTCCAATGAGATGCGTCGAAAAAGAAGAAAAAAAAAAGTTGGACTAACTTTTACATGATAGCTCGTGGCTTTGCGTGGGCAGGAAGTCTGGATTTTATGGGCTCTAAAGGGGGGGGGTTGATTTCCAGACTTCGTTTTTTTTTTTTTTTGCTCTGAGAAATAGAACTTGAAATGTGAAATTCGAATATTGTGGTGGATCTGACAGGAATGCTTCCGCGTCTGTTGGATGGCCTGCTAAAGGCATCATAAGATACATGGCGAGGAATGTATCCCAATACCCGTTACTTGTTCATCCTCGTGAATGTGTTCGTGGACACATTTTATTTGCCACGGTACATCACTATGAAGACTTACGTGAAGGAGATCGTACCCACCCATGAAATCCGGTGCACAGCTGTTTTTCATACTTTTATGTGCTATTTCAATTCATTTTAAATCAGAAAAAGATCCATTCATGCAAATAAAAAATCACTTTGCATTTTCCAAAAAACCATAAAACTGTGTCACGCGTCGTTTTTTTTTTTTTGCATGAACAACCCAAGTGAATGCTAGCGTTGCTGGTAAGAGCAGACACCTCTAGCATGCTCGGGGAGGCTCCATCTATTGGTGGGAAGCAGCACCTGCTGAAAAACGGGTCCAGCGTCCCTCTACATTTCGAAGTGTTTGTTATGGAGATATTTGAACTCATATGGGCAAGCCACGTGTCAATCCAGCTAATATTCTAACCCGACACGTTAGCACGCCAAGCACCCGGTGGGCAGCATTGATTGCCCTCAACTGAGGGGATTAACTGCCCATCCAAATTCAGAGTCATATTCCTACTTCAAATTCCTCATCATAAGCCACATGGATCGTAAACATGCCTATGAGGCAGAGGGGTTGTCATCCATAGGGAAGATAAAAAATGCCATCCCCCATCGAAACCTCCAACCGTTAATCTTCGCCTGCTCTGAACTCGCTATCAGGCAGACAAAAGCAGAAATAAACCAACAGCACGTCGACGGATGAAACAGAGGGGATCAAATGCGGCCGCAGCTCATACCAATCCGTGTCGAAGAAAAGGGGGTAGATAGAGAAATATCACGGAGCAGCGACGTGGCAATTTGCGATTTGCGACATATTCCCACTTCCTCGCCACCTGCTCAATCATGTATAGTAAAAGACCATACGAAACCCGAGTTACCACCACGCAACCCCGTGAGAAAGCGATATTTTCACGCACTGCCCTGCACGGCCCAATTTTCCCTAACAGCTCTATCCCACCCCTACTCGCCTCCATCCAGTATCCCTCTTTGCCGCACAATCTTTCTGTATCCCAAACCTGCCCATCACCCAACCCACACACCCCAAGCCCTGATCGGGCTTCACGAAAGACCAGCGAAGCGAAAAGAGAAGGTGAAAAGAGCGGGAGTGAGCCTGCGCATTATCATGATGTTTGTCAAATATGCTGTCTCCAACCACGTTACTGTTGTTGATAGCCCTGGTCATATGAATGACGTAGTTGCCACCATTGTTGTTGAGCTTATTGTCGTTATCATCGCAAATGTCATTGCCGTTCCCAGCGACGACCTCAACGAAAGCAGTATCACCGCGTTCGAGGAAGTCATCTCCAACGTTGTTGTCTTCGCCACCATCATGAATTCTGTTGATCTCACCGATAGTGTTGTTGTTGTTGTTGTCGTCAGCGACAGCGTCAAAGAAAGCATAAAAAAAAGCAGTATCTCCTGCTTCGAAACAATCACCACTCTCTGTGCTGAAATCGGTGTTATCATACCTACCGATCGTGCTTGCGTCGTTGTCACTCTCCAACAGTTCGCCGCAAGGMCCCCGCCCCTCCTCAAGCCCCCCACGACGAATCAGGACCTCCACTTCCCACGATCAATCCTGCATCGCAGTGCGCAACACCTGCCCCTCCTCAGGCCCCGCGCAGCAACACTTTTCCACATCATCGCACCTTGCACCCCCATACAACCCCTCCCTAAGTTCATCGAAGATTCCCTTTACTTTCTTCATCATTTCAGCACAAACACCCAATTCCGCCATCACCTGTTCATTTTCGATCACGCCAAGCCGTTGAGATGGAAGATCTGCATAGAGGTCCTCCTCCCAACCACCTACCAGCTCCTCACCCTCGTCGAGAAGATCCGTCGGTAGATTGTGTCGATGCTGGATAAGCGTAGTATAGATTTCCTCCATCTGTTGCTTGTACATCTGCACAATCTCTAGTGCAGCACCCTCCTCTCCAAAGCCAGCGGCAACAAGAGCGTCTTGCATGGACGCCGCCTCCATCGCCATCTGCGCCATCGATATAGTCGTAGATGAAGCCGCCGTTTGTCGTCAAACTTGCTGTTACGGTATCTTACTGTTTTGTCAGAGCCGCTCCCCTAACAACCGCGCCACGTCTTTACTCACAACTTGATTCCTTCACGCCGACGTGCCGTCCCCTACAACTGCCACGTGGAAAACCACATCTACGCCCGGGCCGAAGCACCGGATGGGCAGCAGGATGACCAAGCACAGAGATGGCACCTTTCACCATCCCTGCGCCAGTCCACGGAGTGCGGCCGGGCCTTGCCGGCCGGTCCGCAGCGCAAATTAGCGCTTGCGGCGCGGTTGTTTGAGCCCTTACTATGTCACACGTCGTAGAATACTTCGCTAGTGGGTCTAGGCCCCTGATCGGTATTAGTGGAATCTATGACCAACATGGGTGCTACTTAAATCTTTGTCCGTATTTTCTAAAAAGTAAAATGGGAAATACAACAATACAACTGGGATAGTCCTCTGGATACTCCTGATCGGTATTAGTGGAATCTATGACCAACATGGGTGTGAGTGCGAGCGCGAGTGGGTTGTGTGTGGTGTGTGCGAGAGTGTTGGCCATAGCTACTGCTGCTACTCGATGAGGGTTGGGGGACGATGAGAAAGGGAGGTGCAGCTACTGGCAGGTTTCGGTCTTTGTGTTAGCCAGACCCCCACTGGCGGCCCCAACCCTATACCCTAAACATTAGGGGCAAGGGGCAACATTAAATCTCCCCTTCATAGTGAGAGGAAACTATGCTTGCAGGGGTCCCCTCTAGATAGCCTTAGGAGTAGGTAGTGAAAAGCAAAAACAGAAGTTGAGAGAAGAATATAAAAAGAAAATAAAACAATTCGCGGCTGCGTATACATTGATGCGTTTTGTCGTTTAGGGAGGGCTTTCCATATGGGGAATGTGGTTGACCGCTTAGAGGGGTATACAGGGCGTCATTGCGTGCAAAAGAGGGTTGTGGGTGGTCACAAGGGAACGATCGGTCATTCATGCAGGTATTGTGGTGGCGGTCGTTGGAGAGGGCTATGTGGCTGTTCAGTGTTTTGCGGGCAGCGTGAGGTCGTTGCCCTGTTTCTAGTTTAGGAAATTTGGCGTGGTGCTAACAGGTCGTGAGACTGTTTTCGGACAGAATAGTATCCAAGTGCATGCAGGTGTGGCTGAAAAATTGCGTGCATTTTTTTTTTTTTTTTAAAGGCTAATTCAATTACTTGCCGTACCTTTCTCGCGTGGGAAAATAGGGAAAACTGGCAGTTTTCCCAAACTCCTGAATTTTCGGAGGTCGGGCCCGACGACGACTACCATTGATAAATCTGATCGGCAGCCTGTGACGCCCAACCTCACGCCCGCTGCGACTTTCCGATCGGAGTAGGATGTGGGCCTGGAAGTGCGAAAAGGGGTGTGCTAAGGATTTTTGGGAAATTGGGGTGGAGTCCCAGGTCAGAACCGAGATCTCCTGTAGCAAGGTTTCAGGGGCATAGGTGCAATAAGGCTAAGGGACGGGTTACTTTCAGTTCGACGGCGGTCGATGTCGTCCAGCATAAGGCAGATGGCATGTGTGGTGCATCCTGGGTCCTCCGATCTGTTTGTTTAGTGGCGGCGGTTCGGGAGAGGCCCGTTCGTAAGGGKTGCGATTTCTAGAAGTCGGTTCTCCGGGTGTGAACGCGTGGCGATTGCTGCCGCGTGTTACGGTTAGGTTCCGTAATCCGAGAGGCTCGACGGTTGCCGCGTCGTCTGCAATTTATGCACGGCGTGTGAGGCCAATACGGGGGTATGGAGTTCCACGGAACCACCGTAAGTTGGTGGTACGGGAGGAGGATGTGGAAGGGAGGGAATTTGGTAGCAATAACGACAAAGTCGGGGGATATAAAGTATTGCGTGTTATACGTAGTTGGGTAATCGGGGCACCTCGGGTCGCTGGTTACGACACAGTGAAATTCCCTAGCGCACAGTCGGTTCTCGGTTAGAAAGGGAAATTCCGGATATCTCCGCCTAAGATATTCTTCCTCTCAGTGTTCTAAGTATCCCTGGTCTGCGACGTACGTCATCTTGTCATTCATGCGGATCACTAACTAGGGTGTAGCGAGAATTCTCCTCATACATCCGATCGTACTTCAATTGACAAGGGGGTTTTCGGGTATGGTGTCGGAAATTCCTACCAGCTTAGATGCTGGCAACCAGGAAATTTTGCGCCTATCCCAATACTGGAGGTGCTAAGTTCGTCAGTGATCGCGAATCGCCAGCGTGTGGACACGTGTAGGCCGCGTAAATCAGATCACGCTTACACGTGCGCACACAAGGTGATCGGGTCTGTCGGCTATTTTTTGTGCAAAAAGGAGGTGGTGGACCTACATGCGAAATTGCCACATGGCATGGATAATCACCCAATCATCCAATCATTCAGTGATCCCGCAAACAATCATTTTCGCCCATGACATCGCATGCATCAGACACGGTAACCACATCAAACTCATATTGTGGCGACAACAGATCAAAGTGGCAAGCAACGATGATGACAAGCATATCATTCCATCAGATCTCGCTCATCCCATACACACAAAAATAGAAAGGACCGAGACTGAATGAGACACCATACAAGGGCTAATGTTGAAACAAAGATGCCGGAAGAAAATAGGGGCAGATTGTCCGAGCCGAAATCAAAACTTATATACAAACGTAAAGGAAGAGACAAAGAAAATTATAAGGAAAATTACAACTCCGCGTCCATCAACCTCAACTTTTTTTTTTTTTTTCTCTCTCTCTCTCCGATGCGGACACTTCGTCGTCTCGCACCAACCCGTGAAGTTGTCACCCCGCTTAGTCCTCCTGTATCGGCGGATTCGCCCGTGCGCTACAGTCCGTCGTAGCCCCACGCGTCAATCCCGCACATTCGGCACCAGCTTGTCGGGTCGCCCAACTCCCACTTCAACTCACCGCTTACTTTCCTCGTGACCCAACCCTCACTGATCGCGCTACCCCGAGCTTCCAGCAACTGTTTAAGAGAGCTATCTAATCGCGTAACCGAAATTTATAGTGTGCATGCATGCGCAAAGAACACGGAATTGCAAGGACTTAGAAGGAGAGAAGGGGGGGAGTGCCTATGTTCTTCATAGTCAGATCGTGGCGTGGGGGACGTAGCCACTCTCCACGCATCGATCCGAGCATACAGCCTGCGGACCAATTAGACATAGCAAAGAAGAGAAAGGGTGGGAAAGACGAAGCTCAAGAAAAAAGATACAGTTACAAAGGCGCCCTCCCCAAAATTACAGTTACACGCAAGATTAAGAGCGTCGACTAATCAAAGCTCCATTGTAGCCGCAAAAAGAAGCGCGCGAGCAGAAAGCGTCGCGCGGCAAGAAGAAATCCTAAATTCCTAAGTTCCTATCTAATTGCAAAAAGGAATTTCAATAAAGTACAAATTCCGAAAAGAAATTCAATGAAAAAGAACGCAAAACTTCCCGCGCGATCATCGCGCCAAAAGCCCGACAACGAAACACGAAAGAAACGACGTCAAACAGTATTACTTGCGCCTCTGTCGGCACGCCAACCACTCAACCGATCATCCCGGGACTTGCCCAGCCCTGAACCTAGCCATCCGAAAAGAAGCGACGCAAAAAGATGAAGAAGCGAGGATACCAATGCAATTTTCCCTTTGATCCCGATCTCCCTTAATTGGCCCAACCTTCCCATCTTAGGACCCCTCATTGTCCTCGTGCAGAAAATCGCGCGGAATAGAAATCCGTTCGTCACATATGTGACGCCCAGGGGGTTCCAATCTTAAGCAAGCTCCTGCTTGCTTGTCAATTTCCTCAGTAAGGGCTCTCTTCGCTCGAATGAGGGGATCGTTCGTGCCATGGCCGTGACATGTGCCATGCATCCGTGCATCAGTAACTAGCAGGGAGAGGGAAGGGAAGGCGGTACATGGGGGCGTGTTGAGGGGGTGGGTCAGTCGGGAGTGGGGGTAGGAAGCATTCCATTCCCTCGACTTTCATCAAAAGCTCCTGATATCGGACGATCCGATGGAAGCGCGGGAAGCGGGTACCGCCATGGGGGAGAGACGCGAGATAGTCGGGGTAAAGGGTGGTGAAGGTGCGGAGAAGGGCCGTCCGGAATCGATCATGGTTTTCCCACGCGGGGATAGTCCCCGTGATCATGCAATAAACCTCAATCATATTGTGGCCTCGCCACGCAGCACTGAAGAGAAGGACATGAAGACAAAAGACAGGGGTGGCACACCTAGTAGAGGCGTGCGGACGTGTACTGTGATAGCGAGGCGGGTGGCATAGAAGTGGCGGAAGGTGTCAGTAGGGAAGGGGTCGTGGGGGAAAGAGACCAGGATGGTAATCTGGCGGAGGGTGAGGTAATCAAGGGGACGGCATGATAACGACCGGGGACGAAGCCCGATGCCCCGCATCGACACGTGCTCGAACTGGGGGACGGGGAGATGGGGATCGGGATCGGCTCTGTCGCCTGCGCGCCGATGTGCTCGAAGCCTCGGTAGTAGGGTCCCCATCGTCGTTCTGGGGCGGCTCGGGATCCTCGGTCGGCCCGGGGTCGTTCGAGATCGGCAGATCCGCACCACTCTCGAACTTCAACGGCTGCTTCCCGGCCGCGATCTCCTCTCTCCTTCGTGCCACCTCGGGATCCTCCTCCTGAGTTTCTGTGCGATCCGCCTCTTCACCCAGAGTTTCCCACTCAGATTCCTCCTCTTCCTCCAACTGATCTTCTTCTTCTTCTTCTTCTTCTTCCCCCGATTCTTCCTCGCTGTATTCGCTGTAGCTCCCTGCTTCCTCCGAGGTTTCCTCCTCGCTCTCGTCTTCCACTTCTGCTTCCTCTGCCACGACTCTTTCCTCTACCGTTGTTCGGGGCGAAAAGAAGAGGATGTCGATGATCCCTCGGGGGTTCAGGTACTCCGCGCGTGATGGGTTGCTGCCTCCTCCCGTTCGATCCTCCAGGCAGGTTGACCACTGTAAGTACGACGTTAATCTTCGTGAAAGGACGTGGGGCACTGGGCTCTCGTCACACGGCGATATGATGTCGAGGGGGAGGTCGTCGACAAGCTGCGCAAGAGGGATCGTGAGTTCCTACACGATCGTCTGCCGATGGCCTGGCTCTACCGCTCCGAAGACGAATCCGAGGAGATCTCCTTCTACCTCCGTTCTCTAAGCCTGGATGATTAGCAGCTCCACGCTCTCCCTCACGCCATGATGCTCGTTGTCTCGTGTCCATGTCAGCTCCACTTCGACCAGGCACAGCGAAACAGTGAGGTAATGCTCACACCTCAACACCCACTGTATCAGATCGATGAGGGGAATGGCGAGGGGCTTTATGCAGAAGGAGAGACAAGGATAGAGTCTTAGATTGCCAGAAAGTAGGGAAGAGAGAAGGAAGAGCGAAGGTCGAGGACTGGGAGCGGTTCATTGAGGATGCCAAAAAAGAACAAGCTCTGGAAGCGCTACTGCTGGTTCGCGTCGAGACGTGCGAAGCCCGCCGGTGTCGATGTTGTTGGTGACGACAAGATTGTCACCGTGCCGCACAAGACACTGGTTCCACTCTGCCGCGAGCTGCTCACCCCACTCCCTCAGTGATACCTGGATGACCGTATGTCGTAGCAGATCCACTGGACTGATATCTCCGCTGAAGACAACGATGATGGACATCTGGCTGACTCCTGGTATTAAAAGCCGCCGATACGTCGATGCCTCGTCCAATACGAGTGCTTGGCTATGAGCCGCAAAACGAAATTCCGCCGCCGCGTACACTCCCGTGGCGCTGAAGAACACTGCAAGGCGTAGCAGATCCTGACAGAACCGTGGGTGATGGACTTGTCGGATCGCCGAAATGTCGTCACACGACGCCAGCAGGTGCTCGCTGAGAACTCGTTCGGTGAGAAAACTCATGGCGATGGTGATGGGGACGGAGTATCTGAGGGAGAACGAGACAGAGAGGGAGAAGCGGGCGATAAGCAGTCGTCGTCCTCTTCCGCAGCGGAGGAGGAGACAGACGAAGGTGGAGATGGAGAGGAGGGAAGAGGCCATAGGTATGACACATGGCGAGTGATCGGTCAAGCCGATCGGCTGCCGGAGACCTCAGGCACGAGCCGCACGGTGTTCACGCCGTTTGGTCTGAGCTCGACTACGCGAAATCCCCCGAAGAATCGTGGCGCTAGCTTACCCTGGCGTGCACATTTCCTTATCTGCACGATGTCCCCTAACTTATACTGGGGCCGTGGTCTCGCGTTCCCATTTCGGGCCTCATAACTACGGACCTGTCGGTCTTGGGCCAACTCGGTCATCCGTTGGCGTTTTCGGGCTAATCGGGGAAGGGACCGCTCCATCAGCTCCAGGTGTCGTTTGGCCTTGTCTCGAATCGTGGCCCTTGTGGGCCGTCGGTTCAACGAGGATTCGTCTGGGAGGCTCGATATTGAAACACAAGCCACACTATTGGTCCGTAATTAAAAGGGGCTCATGCCCGTCGATTCGTGGGGCGTCCCTCGATGGACCGCCAGGATGTGATCCACGATATCGGGCCAGGGCCTTGGATCCCGTGTCGCGATATTTCGTCGTAGTGCGGTCTTGATCACCCTATTCGCGTTTTCTACCAGCCCATTAGACTGTGACATATAGGGTGCAATATTCCGAATGGTGACACCATGTATGGCCAGGTTCCTCAAAACTTCTCCTCTGAATTCCGCCCCGTTATCGGTCAGAATCTCCTCCGTGTCCTGATACATTCTGAGAAAACGGTTGACATATCGCGCGATTTCGGTCGCCTGTCGCGTACGACATGGGTATGCCTCAATCCACTTCAAAAAATGATCTACGAATACCAATAGGATTGAATATTCACAGCTATTCGGTCTAGGGGGCACCACAATATCGGTAGTATCCATACTAACCCTTTGAAAAGGTCGTTCAACTACCGTAGGTACTATCGATCTTGGTGGCTGAATCGGCGCCTTGTCAGTGGCGCAGACCTGACAATTCTGGACGATGAACTTCACATCGTCGCGAATGTTGGACCAATACCACTCGTTTTTCTCGATTGTCACCTCCGTGATCCGGACGGCAAAATGGGCTGCAGTTTCCTCATGTGTCGTCCTAACCCAGTCATACCTCATGAACGGGTGCGGCACTACCATCCAAATCCTACTACCATCCGTCTTTCGTTTTTCTAACTGACTCTCGTTCCGGCGATAGTCCCGAGCCCTTTCGTTGGCCCTCCTCCGGTACTCCTTAGTGAAGTCCTGGAGGGGGTTACCTAGCAAGGTGGCGATTAAAGCAATGTCCGTCCATGCCTCGGCCCTTCTAAATTTTTGAGTCTTTTCTAACCCTTCTGACGTGGCGTCAAGAAATCGGGTCTCGGTCGGGATCTTATCGTCCCAACACAAGGGGCACAACCAAGGCTTATTGACACTTTTATACTGAATGCAAGAGTCATGGGCTCGCGTGACACACTGCCGACAATCTACCCATTCGACATAACCCTCCCCACTAGGATGCATAGGGACAAAGTAAACGCGTGAAATCGCTTCGCAAAAATAGCAAAATTTGTCAGGAAGAGAGAGAAGGGACGAAGGTGAGAGGGGAGAGAGCGATGTCGTAGGATTACCTCCGTCACCCATTGCCACGTGCCTGCTTCTTGCCACGTGGGAGAACTGCCGCTTGTTCGTACTTGGACCCGTTCGCTGATTCCGGTTCCACTTGTTCGTACTTGGGCCCGTTCGCTGATTCCGGTTCCTTCCAGGGGATGATTTCTTCACCTTTAGGTACCTTAGCTGGTCGATGCAGACGTGTCAGTCTGTCCGCGTTGTCGTGCCTCTCTGTCTTTCGATAGATGATGTCGAAATCGTACTCCTGTAGGCGCACCGCCCATCGCCCAATCATACCCGTATAATTAGTGAGCCTCTTCAGCGCTAGCAGCGGCTCATGATCAATCACCAGAAGAAACTTTTGTCCGTAAAGATACGGATGGAAGTGCTGAATTCCCCAGACCACGGCGTAACACTCGCCTTGCGGGGCCGAATCGTTTCTCCGTTTGTCTGGGACTGTGCGAGACGCAGACTCGATGACGTGTTCACGGTCGTCGTTCCCCTTCTGCGTTAGAATAGCGAAAATCGCCTCCGGCTGCCAGTCCGTGATGAGAATGAACTGCTTCGTAGGGTCTGGCCTGATCAAAATAGGCGTGGTAGTAAGGGCATCCTTGAGGGTGGTGAAGGCTTGTTCGCACTCTGCGTCCCAACTGAGGGGCTGGTCCTTTCGTAGTAAGTTTGTTAGAGGCCGTGCAATCGCGGCGAAGCCCTTGATGAAGCGACGGTAGTATGACGCTAGTCCCAAGAAAGCTCGAACCTGCGTCAGTGACATGGGAATAGGGGCGTCTTTCACCGCCGCGACCTTTCTCGAATCTGGCCGCAGTCCTCTGCGTGTCACCACGTAGCCCAAAAACGAGATTTCTGAGAGGAGAAATTCGCTATTCTCGAGCGAGATCTTGAACCCAGCATCTCTCAGAGCTCCCTGCGTCCACTCAATGTGTTGTGCATGTCGGTGATAGGTCTCCAAGTAGACCAGGATGTCGTCCATGTATACGATGACACAGAAGTTAATCATCCCCTGAGTTAGCCGCATCTTGTTGACGAAGTTCTGGAACGTCACATTCATAGCCCGCTATCGTACCAAATACCCGTACAAGGGTATTTGGCGTGTTTTCTGCAAGTCACACTAGTGCAATCTCGTTCGCTCGACAGCGAGCATACGGGAGGAAGTTTAGGCCCACGCAAGGGTGAGCCGAGCGCGCCACGTATTGACAACGAGGCACATCCATACGCAGCCTGGATGTGCGCGGCGCCGCGGGCCAACGGGATGTGCGACGTCTATTCTTAATTTTTATTTATTTATCTGGTTTTATTTGTCTCTAAGGTCGTTAGCATGGTGATTGATTTCGAGGTCGATGTCGGGACCGGCGAGCCTAGCTCGATCGTTGTGCCGCAGGATACGGGCGGCCGTCACGGCAATCTAGGACCTTGACCACGTACTTCTCTCCGTGGGCCCGTGTTGGTTCCTGCATGTGAGGGGTGCTGGCGAGATTTTTTTTTACCTCACCCGCATTGAAGCGCAGACCGAAGAGGTCAATGTGCGTGGAAAGTGGCGGGGTCCGTGGTCGTGGCTTGTCCCGTTTCCCTATTGGAAGGCATTCTGAATGAGCCTGTGGGGCTACAACTCAAGGATGGTGGGGGCTGTTGCGGGGTACAGTCCGCCCCCGCTATCTGCCTGCGAGATGTTTGAGTGTGGGCGTGACCCTTGGGACATGGTGGATGGTGGGCCGTCCTTGGGCGTAGTGGGGCAGAGCACCGGGGCAGAGGCCGCAATACTGCAGTGACCGCTCGTTGAGGCTCAGGGACCGCTGCATCGAAAAGCTCGTGCTGCAGGTGTTACAGCAGAGCTGTGCCCATCCCCTTGTAGTGGCAGCCGTATGCCTCAGCGTCAATCAGCGGGGCAAGCTGCAAGACTGATGCAGCGGGGCGGGCCGCTGCACACCCTTTCTACCGGATCTCAATGTTTTTGACCATCGTGCACCGGTCTGTGTAGCGAGCGATGCTATATCGCATAGGAGAGCGCAAGCATAGAGTGGGCTTAAGGAGACAACTAATCAGAGGCAGCGATGAAAGGACAAGAAGAACAGAGTTGAATCTGGCCGATGAACTGCGCCAGGTGCGTGCGGAGAGGGGGAAGAAAGCAGCGTTAGGCAGGTAGCGGGCGACGTGCAGCGGAGGAAGATAGGCAGTGGGGAAGCGCAGAAGAACGGAGGAAAGCGACGAGGAGCGAAGGGCCAGAGAAGAGAAACGGGGCCAGCAAGAAGGGGGTGAACCTGGACGTGTTTTTGTGCAGGGTGCATATAGAGAGGAAAGAGAGCAGTGGGGGGGAAGAAAACGAGCATGGTAACGAGAGAGAAGATACTTCACGCCCGTTCCTCGATGGGACCGGGCGAATGAAGATTCGTTCTCGAGGTCCTTGGGCTGGGCGACCTCGATGGTAGAGTTAGATTTAGCAAAGAGTTAGTAAGGGAGGAGGTAAAGAGAGAATGAGCCGGGCAGAGGTAAGGAGAAAACTGGCTATGGTGGGGCAGAAAGTAGTGTATCTCGCCCAATTCATAATGAAATCGGGCGAGTAAAGACGTGAAATAGGGGTTTTTGCCCCTGGCGACCTACATGACGGAGTTAGTTTGAGTGATAAATCAGTAGAATAGAAGGTAGAGAGAGATAGGACTGCGTGGGGATGCCGGACAGCGAAAGGGAGGAGGAAAAGCGAGAGCTAGAGGAGCATATCTCGCTCGTTCCTTCGCAGGTTTAAGCGAGATAAAACATTGTTTGGGGTTTTTTAGATAGGGCGAGCTTGCTGGTGGAGGTGGATTTGGGATAGGAATGACGGTTTTGGCAGAGCGAGATAAGAGGGCTGCGCCCAGTAGGATGGATTTAGGAGTAACGACGTACATGACCGTGTTGTAGGGGAAGGTTCGTTCGGATTTTTGCTCAGCGCTATCCAAAGAAGTGGGGTGAGGCTAGCCGGGGGATGGTTGGAGACTTACCGTGTTGGCTAGTGCATTGCTCATCCTATCGATGAACGAAGGCCCCTTCAACTTCCAATATGGTAGTGCATGCTTACCTGACCGAGGCGTAACTGTGATTACAAAGGAGGGCAGCAAACTGAGAGTGGGACGGAAAGACAAGCCGCAATGGAGTACAGTCAGAATGAGGAAACGAGAAAGAGGATAGTTGATTTGGAAGGTAGTTTACTCGATAGGGGTTGCAGGGGTGCGCTTCATCCGGGTGGATTCCCAGTCAGGTGCATTTCAACAGAGGAGTGAGGACGCTAGCGTATGACGAATATGACGCCAGTGATAGCTTCGTTGGTGAAAGAGAGAGTAGTTACTTATCTCGGTAAAAACGTCGCGGATGAACAAGACCTCATGTTGCAATACGAGAAAATTGAGGGTTGAGCACATGCAGTTAGCAAGATATCCGAGCCTGTCGTCTCTCTCTCTCTCTCTCTCTCTCTCTCTCTCTCTCTCTCTCTCTCTCTCTCTCTCTCTCTCTCTCTCTCTCTCTCTCTCCCTTCTTCTTAACAC